TCAAATAAGGCTCTGCGTGTTCTTCTGCAGTTTTCAACATCATACTTGTGCGAATTAGAATTCTCAACCATGACGACTATCAAAGGTAAGAAAAGAGAAAAATTACTAACACTTGAAGAAGAACTAAGCGTATGTCTCTCCAAAACTAGGCCAAACTTTCCTGTTCTGCTCAGAAATCATAAAGCACAAATATCACATTAATTTGTATACTTTTTACATAAACAATAAATTTTGAAAATATTGTGGCTTTTTTGTAAATAAATGCATGTACATTTTTTATAAACCTTGTATTTTATTTATTAAAACTTTTCTTACATACATAGGGATCCGCAAGAAAATTTGAGCCTCTCAGGGGATCCGCGCTTCCAAAAAGGTTGAAAACCACTGCTATACAGACTATGTGTGCTAAACCTCAAGGAGGAAGGCAATATGGTTATGTAGTTTTGGTCCATATTTAATATGTGCACATCTCAATTCTACTCAACAGAATCTAGCTGCAGGAAAAGGGCACAGTTGTATAGTGTATGGTAACCTCAACACTATTGAAAATACTCAGGCTGCTGGAGGAGGTCAAAAGTGGCATGAGTAAAGAATATTTTTTATATGAGGGATGACCCACACTACACTGACGTGCTATTACTGCTCCATTTCTCACCATATTGGTACTCCTTTGTCAAGCCCTAGCAGTTGAGTCCAACCAGTAAAGATTCTCCATTATCCATCATCAGAGCAGCTAAGAACCAGCAAGTGACAAGGGTCTCCTGTGCTCCACTCAATGAAGAAGGGAGGGGGGGATTCATGTAGGAAGACTTGGAGAAAGTGCCCAAATCCCAATCAGTCCTTCAGTCCAAAAATGTCTTTTACTGGAAAGAGTATAATGGGTGACCATGAAACATTATTTTTAAAATCCAGCAAGTTCAAGCTAGACAAGTGGCAGAACACTTCCCTGGTGCTGGCTTTTTCCATGATAATCTATGGAATAGATATGGTCTGGATTGCACAATATAGTAAATATATATATCACAAGGATACCTCAAGTGGTCTTGCAGAATACCCCACCTCACAGGGGGGCACAATGAGCACTTTCCATTATGTTGGCTTGGTGCAATGAAAAGAGAAATAGTGTGCATTGCTCTCAAAGATAGTGAGGAAATTGAAGAATAGTGACCTGTGAAAGCCAAAAACCTTCAGGAGATAAAACAGCCAAAAGGTATAGAGGAGGAAACAAATATGTGAAGAGCATCAACATGTCCATGTGGAAGAGCTCATCATAAGGCCAATGAAAAAAGAGATGTCAGTGAATGAAAAAGGTGAAGAGATGAATGCAAAGAAATGTGAGATAGTCAGCAAACATCTACATTCCAAGAGGAACATACCAACTGGAGAAGGCAACTGACTCATTCAATAAGGGTAGTAGGAGAAATGTCCATGAAAAAAAGAGTCCCAAGGTGGTTACAG